CAGAAAAATCTACTTGAGTACAGTAACAAAGTATTTGTACTTCGTTACTTCCCATCTCTGCTTTGGAGCAGCTACAGGGTTGTACGTGTGCATTTTTTTCTTTATTGCAGAGGGCAGGTTTTTTTCAAAAACTTGGTAAAATCTTCCACTATACCTTTAAAGAATGTGCTTTACATTCCAATGATTTCACTAAATCTGGGTCCATTTAATTTAAAAAAAGTAGGAAGTAGACTCAGAAATGACAGAAAAAAAAATACTTGAGTTACATAACAGATTGTTTGCGTTGCATGTTAGTTAATGTAATTTAAAAAAGGTAGACTGATATGTCTAAATATATTGATTTAAAATCATATGTTATACTTGTTTTGTATCTGTCTCCCACCTGCCCCTAATGACCAGTCACTGCTTATTAAGTTTCTGTTATCTTCCATTTATTCAGTCCTTTTATTGCTTTCTCATTGTCTCCCTTCTGTCGTGTTTTAATTCTGTTTTAGGTCCGTTTTTTTCTGTGTAGTCAGTACCTGCGCATTTAGTGTTATTTTTCTGCCAGTCTCTTCATTTAAATTTATCTCCCTTCTTTCCCCTACAGCTGCAATCTGTATCTGCTGTTTTGCATTTCAGTAACCAACCCTCCCCATCATTTAAGCCTCTATTGAGACATTCCTCTGCCAGGTCCTCCCATTGCCAAACCTATTATTGCTCCTGTTATCCTGCAGTCTTGTTCTCTAGATTACTTTGGTGCTTCATGTTTCGTCTGGTATCCTTATAGCTTTAGTTCTTCTCTGCCTTTGTTTCATCATTATTCTTTGTTGAGGCTCTGTAATCAAAATAAAGCTTTTATCATCATCATTCATATACAGTATCCTCCCAACAACAATAAACTCTTGACTGTCATGGTTAAAAGCTTTTGCAGTAGCTAGTCTGTTTGTTTTTATTCTTTGTTGTTTATCTGTTTGTTTCAATGTTTTGCTAAATAACAACAAATGATTTTAACTTATTTTAAAGATTATTGTTTAGGATCTAGTGGCCCTTATCTTGGTACTTTTTGAAAGTAGGTAGATAGGAAATGGGATTAGAGAGAGGGTGAAGACATGAGAAAAAGGCCATCCGGTGGTGACTTGAACCTGTGACGGCCGAATCCAGGACTAAAGCGTCTGCAGATGGCTCCCCTGCATCGCAGGCGCTCCCAATCATCTTTACTTTTTAATAGATTTTACCTACAGATATGTTTATTTTAAATATAAAAGATCCTTAACAGAAATTCTAATTGCAACAGAAAGGTCATTCAAATCGATGTAAAGATTAAATTTACCATTTTTTTCCTCCTGTTTTTGTTTGGGATTTCAGAAACTAATTCCACTAGGATGCTGGATATTACCATCTGGGTCCATCCTGACCCTTCTCATTTCATCAATGTTCGCAGATGTTCATAGTTTGTTGGCTTGTATTAAGCCATCTGCTTTGTGAGAAATAACCACAGGCTTTCAGCCACTTTGATATCAGTTGGCTTCATTATACTGTATGATCCTCCATAATGCTCTAAAATCCAAAGATCATCATCAAACTGTTTGTATGGTTGGAAGAAGTTGCTCTTTGAGGATATTGAGATCCCATTCTTTATTCATGTGAGAGTTTTTTGACAGAACCTTTGAAGAATGCACTCCCAGGATGACAACTAATGTCACATACTGTATAAATTGTGTCAGATTGCCATGCTGGGGATATAACACTGATCTAATGGTGGTACCTACATTTACTTTTCCAGATAGAACATTTTTTTCAAATATCCCACACATTGAAAAAGAGGATTCATACATTTTTCACTAGCTTTTCAGTTGTGCCTACTTTCTTTTCTTGGAGAATTTCAGTAATGCCAGATGTTTTTTTTGAAGAGAGTTGCTTTTTTTTTTTGGTTACTATTCTTTTTTTTAAATAAAATTGTCCCAAATTTTTAGACTCAATGTGTGTTTAGCAGGGTGCATACTCACTTCCAGCCAATGTGGGACAAGCATGAATCTGTAGAGCAGTCCTCAGTAGAAAGCACTCCTGGTTGGAAAGTTGCAATACATTCAGTGTGCTGGAAAAGATTTTCAGTCATCCTGACCATAGTCAACAAAGTTAAAAACGTTAAAAACTTTGAACAGAGTGGTGTATGCAGTTCAATGCATTGAGGAATGCTGTGATCTTTATATTGGAGAAACAAAACAAACTCTCCACAGATGCATGGCTGAAAGCAGACGGCCAACCTCCCCTTGACAAGACTTGGCTGTACATTTACACCTTAAGGACAAAGGACATTTGTTTGAGGACCAGAATGTTCACATTTTGGACAAAGAAGACAGGTGGTTTGAAATGGTTTTGAAGGAAGCCATTCATGTGAAGAGAGAAAAACCAACCATGAACAGAGGGGGTGGACTCAGGTTCCAGCAATGCCCCTAATGACTCCTTTTTCAGAGGCATGGGCCAGTATCGGGTCTTGCAGGCCAACAACAACCTTAACAACTTCCCATTACTAAGGGATGGACCTGCTCTGCTGGTTCAGTTCGCTTCTTTGCTAAGCCACCTCAAGGCTTTTGTTTGTGCCACTCTATAAGCCTAGAACTCAAACCCTACTCCAGACATTTGAAATTGAAAAAGCTTCCTGGATGGGGAGCGAAACGTCTTTAAACTTGGAAAACAAAGTCCAGTTTTTTTTTGTTTTTTTTTCAACTTTGTTGGAATACCTTTAATATTTGTTATTGTAACCCAATCTGTTTCCCTATAGCCTGCAAAATGCATGCAATTGTGGACCATCACAGAGGAAGAATTTTAGGAAAATCAAGAAGTAATCTTCGTTTTAAGCCTGTGATCTTACATCGTACTGTGGGACAGGTTTAAGAATTGCAGCATTGCAGCCAAAGATATTTACGGATATTTGGAATGACTTTCTTACAGTATGACAGATTCGAAAGAGGTTTGGCTGCAGACCTGCATTGTAAGGACCCGGGCCTGCACATTCAGGAAACAGGCCTGCACTAAGTAACCCTGGCTGCAGAGCTGCACTGTGAGGTCTCCTGCGCTGTAAGAACCGCAAGTTTATTCAAAGACTTTCAAAGTAAAACAAAGTTGATTCCAACTCCCTGTGAAGCTAGCTTCCTTTCAAAAACAAGTCTTGATATGCTGGAAACTTATGTGCACTCACAATTTTACTCACCACCAAACTCCTATCTGGAATAATAGATATGTGCTACATAGAAATAAGTCTATGCATTTGGAACACTGAATGGAAAAAGGTATTTGGTCTACAAGACATTGGAGGTTTCCTAAACTGTAAACTGTAATTATTTTTGCTTACTGTGTAATTTATACTTCTCTTTTGCTCAGTTTAAGTCATAAACTCTATTCAGGCAGCAAAAACTTGCTATGCGCTATTCCCGAAGGGTTCGAATACCACTTCCGGAATAAACTTCTGGTTCTGACAGTGCAGGTCTGGCTCCTGACAGTGCAGGTCTGCAGGCAGATTCTCATGATGGATTCTAGTTCTAAATCAGGCAATAGAAAACCACCTTTGATCTCGTTTTCTATGTAACGTAACACCCAGTGTGTCATGATCTGGCCTGTTTGCTCTCCCTTAATTAGTCATTCCTTTCAGCTGTCGTTTTCCCTCCCTGCCTCAATTATAATTTATTCCTCTCACCTGTTTCCTCTTGGTTATATTCAGTTCAGCCTGAGCATTCAGGGCCAGATCATTTCTTGTCTTTCTGTCAGTCTGTCTGTTCATTTTTAGTTCATGGTTCATGTCCTGGATCCTAGCAGCCAGTGGAAAGAGGGTTTTTGTGTTTGTCTCGTCTCCTGATCGTCCACTGTTCCTCCCCTGCCGAGTCCTCTGGGTTTTTGGCTCAATATGTGGGGAGGTTCAGTTTTTATCCAGTAAGCCTGGCTCCAGGGAGGAGACCAGTTTAAAGTCCTGCATCTAGTTCCGGTTCTTCGTCCTGTCTCGGCTACCCTCTTCCACTGAGCCTGCCTGTCTGCACCTGATCCTGTCTTCTCCTGTGCGTGACCACCTGGTCATGCTTCTGGTCCCAGTCAGACTCTGAACCCTGCTGGGAGCCTGTGGATGCCTGGAAGTCTGGATCCTGCCACCTGTTTCTGTTCCTGCCTGATCTGGATCTTGTCCCTGTCTGTTCCTGTCTGTTCTGGATCCCTGACCAGGATCGGCTTCCAACATGTCCTCTGGAACTGCAGCACTTGGGGACATTCTAGGACTGGACTGTTAAACCAGAGTGTCTGAGATTGAGCGGTGCCCCGCCCCCCCGCCTGCAGTGTCCGCGAGCCACAGCTCCGCTTTTGTTTGTTAAACGTTTTGAACTGTCTTACTGACTGTCTCTCCTTGAATACTAGGTCCATTGTCTGCGTTCATGACACAGTGTGTGTTTTCTTTATCTCTGTTTCTATCATTTTTTCCCCATCTATCCAGATATATCAATTGAGAAATTGTAGCAGTAACCATTGTTGACTTTATAGACACTAACTCCATGGAAAAATAAGATTTCTCTTTAAAACTTGAATTCCTCTCTGACTACAACCTTATTCTCTATTTTTTCCTTCAGATTTAGTTTTTTTCTTTTATGCCTTATTGAGTCACAGGGACTGCGTTCTTCTCATCATTTATTGTGTTACTCAGGTGGCTGGTGAATTATGTACACTAATGAAGTTTATGGATGTCCTAATTGGTTATCATATAATATTCATACATCATACGTGATGGGGTGTGTTTATTGTGTGTCATGGAAATGCCTGCCAGCAGGAAATCTTCATCATGCTGATGCCTGCAGTGCACGGCTTCTAATGTAATGATTCCCTTTTTGTCGCATTATGTTCTTATGTAACATAAACCTAATTAAAGTGTTTAAGAGCAAAATACACATTTGTTAAGGCTGCATATTAAACAAAATTGGGATTTTAGGGACTGTACAACGTGAATTCAACCATCTTAACACCTTTGTCTCAATCTGGTTTAGTTTGTTACCAAAGGCGCTCCGGCCCGAGACGATATCGCCACTGAGGCCTATGAGGAGGAGCTGGACATGGGACGATCCGGCTCTTATATCAACAGCAGCATCACGTCTGCCTGGAGCGAGCACAGCTTGGACCCAGAGGACATACGGGTGAGGCAACTTTTAAAATCACGAGTACAAACAAAATATGATTTCCACTGGTTGATTCCAAACATACATATTTTATTTTTACTGCTACATGATGTTACAGTAGAAGGAATTAAGATTGCTCTAATGAATTGGATTACCTTTATTCTGAAATTGGTGAAATGGCTGTTATGGCAGATCTAACATGTATAAAATGACATTAATAATTACACCTTTTTGTCACTCTTTAATGTTTGAGATAATTCAAAAAACTTTAAACTTTATCTTTATCCTTATTCACATGGAATAATCATTATTTGGAGACCCTATGTAAAGAATCTATTTCCCAACCTCCTGCTTTTTATGTGCTTTGCACATAATAGACGCAGCCTGAGACTTTGCAAACATTTAGTGAACGGTACTGAGTTGGATATTAATGCAGTGTGTATTACGTAACATCTATTCAGTGCTGTGTGCAATATCTAATGCCGGCCAGTTGTATTAAAAGGGGCTACAAACAGAAGAAAATTGTTATCAGAGCACAGTGCAATGATCTGATCTAACTGTCAACTGACAATCTGATTTGTGTTGGACTGTGCCACATTTTTCAATTTTGTCTTGGTGTTCCACAAATTGAAATAATATCCTGCATCTGACTAAGGTCAAAAAGAAGAAAAAGAAATTCAACGTGTGCTTTTCTGAAATATAAAACAGTAATTGAAACAGAGCCGCATTGACTGTCAATCAAAATACAAAGTGTGCTCCACGGCATGACCAACCTGAGCTCAGGGATCTTAAGATAAAACAGAACAGGTGGAGGATTTTGTTAAAAATGAATGAATACAATTTTTATAAACTTTTTGGAACTTATTTGGCTCTTAAACTCGGCATACAATAAACCCATTTTTTCAGAAATCATACTTAAAGTTAATGGTTGAGTTGGTGGGTTTTTTTGCTCAGTACTTAAATGACCACATTTGGGTCTCTAGCACAAATAATAAAAAAAAAAAAACATACATCAGTTTCTGAGCTTAAGCTCAAGCACATCCAAAGCAAACTCACTTCCACCTGTGAGTGGCCAGAGAAAAATGAATATATAACTTGAAGGTTTTGATGTGGGCTCATCAAATTCTGAAAGGAGATGTTGCACAGCTTTAAAGGGGTCATAGAATGATTCCATAGGGTATTTGGTGTTGGTCCTTAAGGTCTCTGAATAGGGTGTGTAACACTGTTTGGGTAGAAAATGGCATATTTGCTGTTTTATGAGCCCTAATGCAAGCCTGGTTAAGAGCCCCATATCGAAACGACAGGTTTTCTTCCTTTTATGGTATGCTCATGAATATTTATATGAGCTGTGCGCTGATTGGTCGGTTTACAACGCTGCTGAGCAAAAAAAATCATCATAGCAACAAGCACTCATTCACTGAAACATCGAAATTGTTGATATGGTAGGGTGACCAGACTTCCTCTTTTTTCCTGGAGATGTCCTACTTTTCATACCTAAAAAATTGTCTGGGGGGAATTTCAAAATCGTCCGGGATTTTGGTCAACTACAGTGCAGCAGGTTCGGACCAGCCCCGGAGCTGGCGGCTTGGTTCAAATGCCTGTGAGCGGTCCGGTCCAGATTTGCAGAGAAAGGATGTGGGGTTTGAAATTCTCTGTACGTCCATTTCACCCACTGAACTATCGGTATTCAGCTATGACAATGTAAACTCGGTTTTGCATTCTATGACCCCTTTAAACATGCAGTTCATGCATAAAGGAATCTTCCAGTATGGCCAAACCAGAACAATCCTGCAAAAAAGACAGTGATGGAAAAGACTGTTAGTTGTTCAGTCATTGAAATAGTCAGATGACATTTCCAGTCATCAATCACAAGTGATCTGTTGGTAGATATGTCCCAAATAAAACCTTATATTAGATCAAGCTTTGTTTGTTTACCAAACCAAGACAAAATGGGAAAAATAGAAAGAATCTTTAAGGGTGCAAACTATTTTTAATATTTTATGTAACATAAAAAGTAGACATTTACACAATTCTCATGTAGGAAGAGCTGAAGAAGCTGTACGCCCAGCTGGAAATCCACAAAAGGAAAAAGATGCTCGCCAACAACCCTCATCTTCAAAAGAAGCGCAACTCAAAGAAAGGCCTGGGTCGCACCCTGATGAAACGGATTACAGAGATCCCAGAGACCATGCACTTGCACCGCCAGTGCAGCCGAGATGATGGCAGTGAGCACGGAAGCAACCGTAGCACACTGAGGAGAAACCAGCTGGAGGCGAGCTGTCAAGGTAAGTCTGCAGCTACTGTATGCGTGCATTTTGTCCCAGTGTGCAGCTGAAAAGAGGATGTTATAGACTGGTGGTCTGCAAGCTGCAGCTTTTTGGACCCTCAATAAAGGCTCCTAATAGTGGCTAAAGTGATAAAGAACCGATAAAGGTATGACAACATACAAACATCTGGAAGGTTTTCGCAGTTAAAATATTTAAAATACTGAGTTGAAATTTCCAAAAGCAATACATTAAATGAACCAAAAATATATTTATGTTGTTTTTAGATCACTTTCTTTGTCATTAACTCGGAAGCTTTTTTATATGGAATTTCAGCACAAATTAACATCCTATAGAAGACATTTTTTTCCTCTTTTCAAAACCTAAAAATCGAAACAAATGACAACAGATTTCATAGAGCAGATATTAACTAAAGTAATAAGTTTTATTAAAAGGTCATGTCAAATTTGCCGCTCTAAACTACTTTATTTGCCTCGACTCAGTGGGAAATGGCTTTTTCAACTTCAGAGGTTAAATATCTCTGTTGTAGACCGTGTTTACAAACTACATTTTAGGTTAATATCACCATGTGAACAGGAAAGATGGTATAAATAAGTTAAATACTCTATTTTTGCTCATTGTCTTTTGCATAAGGAGCGCCGTCTGCTGGTAAGTTCTTCAGTTATTGGGTTTATATGTCCAGATGCAGAAGACCTGTTTTGTCACTATTCATACTGGTGCATCGCACACAAAGCATAGCAGTCTAAGCCTATAGCAGCACAACTATAGAGATAGCTCAGGATAATTTGTGCCCCTCTAACTATAAGCTTTACCAAAGAGGAAAGTTTTAAGCCTTGCCTCATGGACTAAAACTGGTAGTTGGTTCCACAGTAGAGGAGCCTGATAACTGAAAGATCTGCCTCCCATTCTACTTTTAGAAATTATAGGAACCACTATTAAAAATGCAGACTGAGAGTGTTGTGTTCTGTTTGGAACATAAGGAATTATCAGATCTCTGATTATATATATTATATTTCAAAGTCAATGAAGAGAATCATAAGCATAAGAGAAATATGAACTCTCTTTTTAGTTTTCATCAGAACCCTGCCTGCAGCATTTTGGATAACCTAAAAGCTGATAGTAAAGAATTACAGTAGTCCAGCCTTAAAGTAACACATGCATAGACTAGTTTTTCAGCATCACCCTTGGACAGGATACTTCTAACGTTTAGAATATTCTAGAAACCTCTTTTACATGGAATTTAAATGACAGTTCCTGATCCTGAAATAAACACAATTCTTTTTTCACTTTATTATCTGAGATCAATTTAATCCTGACTAAACCTAACCAATCAGATTATTTTTTAAAGGCTCTCGTCCAGCAACAACAATTTCCGTTTTGTCTGCATTCAGAAGCAGAAATTAAGAGTCATCTAGGTTTTTAGGTCCCCAAGACATGCCTGTTCTCTATGTAATGGGTTAATTTCATCTGCATTTATAGACATGTATAGCTGAATATCATCAGCATAACAGTGGAAATTAATCTAAAGTTGTCTACTAATTATATCAATTGGGAGCCTATGATAAACAGAATTGGCCATCGCACTGATCCCTGTTGTACTCCACAGGTAACCCTGGAGCTGCAGGGAGATTTTTAATTAATGTCAACAAACCATCCTGTTATTTTCATATAGATGTCTATATATATAGATATATATATATAGATGTCTAGATTTATCTATTTAATCTACATGCAGAATGCCTCATTTGAATGCGTGCAATCACATAATAAGACATTTTTTCTCACGAACAGGATGGTGTAGTTTGCTGTAAACAAAAAAAGCTTTGATTGTCTCCATTGATAAACTTTGTTTAATACATCCATTTCAATTGAGCATGTTAAAAATCATCATTGTCATATGAAAGTTTGATTAATACATTTTGTAGCCCTTGAGCAATAAACCAGCGTAACTGGAGATTCGTGAATGAATCCTGAGTGACAACATAAAAGTCTGAATGTCTCATACTTCATATTTTATGCTTGTTTTATGCTTTATGCTATCCCTCCAGTTTGAAGTAAAATGTTTCAGTCTGCGACAAAAGGGAAAAAATTACTAAAACACAGACTACATGGTAAATAGGGCACAGCTAGAGACTTTGTCTGAATAATGATAGATAGGTTCAAAAAGTATAACCTACTTAATGTGACATCAAAGAAAATGTGGCCTTCTTTTACGCTTCTCTGTTTATAAATCTTTCCCCAGGAAAACTTCGAGACGACTCTCTGAAAAACAAGGTCACAGGGCTGACGAAGTCACTCAGCTTTGACCATGTTTGTGAGCAGGATGCTGAAACTGGAAGCCAAACTGGCTCAGTTCCAGGAGACAAAATGACTCCCGTTGGAGAGGGGTCTTTTCTAGGGTCCCTTATTAGCCGCAGACACAAGAAGCATCTGGAAACAGCCGGGACTCTGCCGAGGCTAGAGTCCGCTGAGTCCACTGAGTCCGTTCCGCTCTTCTGGAAGTCTGCCAGCGCTCACAACCTCACCCATGAGAAAAAACCCATCCACCTGCGGACCTCCATCATGCAAAAGTCTCTGAGTGTGATTACCAGTGCCAAGGAGAAGATGCCAGTACTTTCTAACAAGACTCAAAGTGTGGAAGATGCCAGTAAGAAGGGTCAGAAGGCACCGGCGGAGAGAACTCTGTCAGAAGTGGATGAGATGCCTGAGCATTTCCCCAAAATGATCATTAGCCAATCAGTGGAGTACTCCAAGACTCCCTTGAAGATGGGAATAATGAAACAACAGGTAATACTGAGCGCATGTATAGGTAACCTACACATATGTATTTATCTTTAACTGTATAACATTATGTCATGGTGCATCCACAATAGATTGTCCTGGAGCTTAGCTGAACTGACCAACACAAGGTTTCTAAACAGGAAAGAAAATGAAACATAGAACACATATTTTATAGATAAAATCCAGAGAATTTCTATATACATTTGGAATTACCCTCAGTCAAAAATGTGTTTTCGCTGTAGCTGCAGGTCCTCTTGACCGGTGCATCTACCATCTTTTCACAGCCAGCTTCTTTTTCTAAAATATACCTGGATGTGGCCTGTGAATTCCCATCACAGCTTGTGAATTTAGGCCTGAAGTTTGATAATGTCTTTCTCAAACTAAAATTTCTGTGGTTTTAACCATCCCTCTGCAGCTCCAGGTCTGACTTTAGTGTTGTCATCCTGGTGGAAGGTGATCCTTCAAATCTACTTTTAAGTGTTTTGTAGCTTCTTACAGGTTGTCTCCCAGGATCCTTTCTAGACCCTTATGTGTTTAGCTTTTATCTTCCCATCTATTCTAATGAGCATCCATGCACCTATTACCATCATCTTTAAGCTAAGCTCTTCTTGCATTAACTGTCATTCTAGACCAGTGTTTTTCAATCCTGGTCCTCAAGGCACCCTGCTCTGCATGTTTTGGATGTTTCTGAGGTTCAGCAAACTTGATTCAGATGATTGCAGTTCAGCAAAGCCTGATAATCTGCTATCAATTGATAACAGATGTATAAAAGCTGGGAAACATCTAAAACATGCAGGGCAGGGTGCCTTGAGGACCAGGATTGAAAAACACTGTTTTAGACAGAGTCACAGCTTGGTGGGTTTGCAGTTATTCCATACTTATTTGGGATTTTGTCTTATAACCTCACCCTGCTTTAAACGCCGCCATAACCATTAACCCTGGCCTCTGTGCTGTTGTCATTGGTCTTCATGACACTTTTCACAGTAAAGTGGAACGAAGGAAAACAACTGCTACAGTTTTTATTTCTGTTAGTTAAAATATTCAAAAGCAAAAAATTGTTTTCCCCCCAGTTCACTACTATGTACTGCGTTCTGTTGGTCTATACCTTTAAAGAATATCAAAAATACTTTAAGCTATGTAACGTAACAAAAAAGGGAAGACTCAGATAAATTTTTTAATACTTTATCAAGACACTATGTTTCAGGGTTCCCGTGTGTGTGTGTGTGAGAATGTGAGTGATGCATCCCTTCCAGAGAGGATCTTGGTGGAGAACTTGTAGTCTACACAGGTGGAGCTCATCAGTCTCATCAGAGAGCTGGGCTTTAAAGAGCAGCAGAGCCTTCACTCAGGGCTGGTTTCTTGTTGTTGTTTTGTTGCTTCCTTGTCTCTTGCTCCTCTCATGAATTTTCCCTGACGTTTATTTGATTTTGTTTGGTTTTCAGTACTTTTGCACTTTTTATGGATTTTTCCCTCAATTGCCTGTTAGTAGTTATTAAATCAGCAAAACTCATCTCTGCATTTGGGTCCTCAAAACCTCCATCCAACCTGACGCTATGATTAATGTGTTGGGAAATCCATAACCTATTTGTTATTCTCCTAAATCCTTCTCCTCACTAACATTCACAAAGATTAACACAATACTAGGAAAAATGTTTGCATCAAACAAACCTTCTGAAGATCAGGTCCTTAGCCTCCTTGTTATCTGTTTAAAGGCTTGCCCTCTCTTTCAGTCTAAAGGACCTCTAGACAGAGCATGTTGTAGAAAATACAATTTCCTTTCCTGTGCCTTTTTGTTTATATCTCTGCTAAGTCTTCACTCTTTCTCAAATATTAAAACCGTCAATGAAAATGAAAGAATATAACTAGATAAGTCTTAACACTTAGACAGTTGTTTGCAAGGGATTAATCATATTGTTGAAAAAGAGATGTCCATTTCCAACATACTTTTCCAAAGCAAAGTAATTAAAAAAGGGGTCAGATTTGTTTTAAAACTTGATTATCAAAGTCAGCTGATATGCATATTTTAGAAAAAGTAGGATTACAGTATAAAGAGTGCAATGCAGACATCTTTCAATGTGACATAAAGAGACTATTATTTTAGCTGTTTGACAGAAGAGCCCTAAACTGATCTCTTTTAGTTCTGAGCTTAATGTTTAAGTAAGAAAGTCATCTTAATGTCATTGTTTTCTCTTTTTTATTACATATTTCTTTTTCAGGTAAGCGGCAGTCAGCCATCCATTTGCTCTGAGACAGGGAGGAGCCTCTATGATGTTTCGGAGGTTTGTCCCTGGGAGCTGGATGAAGCTCAGACTCCCACTGAGTCAAAGATCCAGAAGCATGTTTCCATAGCTCCATCAGAACCTGCCTCAGGTCGAAGAGGCAGTAGCAGCAGCTCAGGAACTGCCAAAGTCAGTCGGTCTCAGCAGAGGCAGAAACCTGGGCAGTCTCCATCAAACAAGCGGCGCTCTAAGGAGAAAGGGGGAGAAAGGGAGGAGAGGAAGGCCAGGCCACCAAAATCACCTCTCCCTCTCAAGCCGGACGTGAGCCCCTGGCAGTTTGATGAGCAGCCCATGGTTGGAGGAGATTCTGACTCCATCTCTCCTGACAGGATCAGGAGAAAGAAAAGTGTCACACCAACTGATGGGAAACCTAAAGGACTCCACTCAGACCACTCCAAGTCCACAGGGAGCCTCTTACAGCCCCCATCACTCATGGTGGAAATCTGCCCCTGGGATTACGGAGGCCCCCCTTCTCCTAAGCAGGAAAAAACCTGCAACAGTCCCATCTTGCACAATAAGAAACGTAAGGGCTCCTCCTCATCCGCCCACAAATCAGAGAAGGATCGAACGAGGGAGAAAAGCAAGGAAAGGCGTAGCTCATCCAGCAAGCCACCATCGGAAAGGAGACGGGTTAGCCAGTCCTCTGAGGGTGGAGGGATGGTTACTGAGAGGAGGAGGAGCTCAACCAGAGACGTCGAGGTTTTCTCCCGTGACTACGAGCCCTCGCACACTCACAGCGGCATGGCTCAGACTAAAAAATCCCCTGAAAAGAAGAAAGAGAAAGCTTTGCGCAGTAGTTATAAACCTGCAGTTCTAAGCAGCGCAAAAATGGTTGATGTTTGCCCCTGGGACTTCCCAGAGAAGGATTCAGGGGAGAGGGCATGATAACTGTTGGGATGATTTGATCCTTCTATACTCGCTGAGTGAGAGCTCAGAGAACAAAGGGAAGCTAAAAATATACCAGCGTGTTTGGTACATTTTTTTCCCTCTTCATGTCATCTAAGTGAAAAGGGCCTTGTAAGCCCTTTAGGTCTTCTGTCCAGACAGACCTATTTACAGAGCTCTCAAAGCAACCTTGTTGCTTTAAAAAGGACATTTATTTTATCTGCACACCTGCCTGCACATCTGTCATAGTTTGTATGTTTTATCAGCTTTAATACATCTTGAAGGTATATAAAAGATTCATGCCTGCGCTAGTAAGCTGAGCAGACAATCATCCAACTGTAAAACCTGAGTTCCTCGGCCTGAGCTCGACGCTTGTTGAAAAACACAGAGAGAGCAAAAAGAAAAACTTATGGAGGAAGGAGAACATGGGCTCTCAGGCTCTAAGACACAGGAGTAAAACAACAGACACCACTGCAATTCCTTGTCTTTGGGCAAAATGCATTATTAATGGGATGAAAACGATGTGTTAGATTAACCAATCATGGGAATAACAAAGCTTTGCACTACAGCTTAATGAAGGAAATGGTTTGAGTAAACGTTCTCCATTTGAAATGCCTTGCAAAAGCAGTCATATCCCAAAAATATTCTAATTTCCTCATGCTACATTCACAATCTGGGGCGTCTTCATTTAAGCCCCCATTATTATGACAGCCTTAAATAAAACCCTCTGTCAACATTTGCATTTACAAATAAAAATTATTTCTAGAGTTGGCATGTGGGATTTTAGCCTCCCTGTAGTTAAACCACAGCCGCTCTATGAAACATCCTGAGGTTTATTGCTTTAATTGGGCTCATTTACACAAATTTGACTCATGGCTCTCTAGACAAAAAAAAATGTAGAGAAATATACATCAAGATTGATCATGCATACCAATTTGATCCGTCATAAAGCCATGCAATCAAATTTAGTCTTTTATTTCAGTCAGTGAAAGCTTTTTCTATCTAAGGAAATCCGGTGGTTGCAGCAATCTTTTTTAAAGAACAAGCACATGGCTACAGTGGGAAGGAAAATTCCCAATTAGAACCAGGTTCAATGCTAACCACCATTTATCACGTCTGATTAATGGTTGCATAAAACCGAGCACAAAACAACACAGAAATCCTGGTCCAGGAACACTTTGAATAAAAGTAAGGAGTTATTGAAAGGAGTAGGTCCTTTAGTGGCTTCATCTAGAAGAGAAACACAGGTTGACATATACGTTTTGAACTTATGGTAGTATAAAAAAAACAGCCTTATCGTATACATATAGTCAGTGACTTTGTTGATATTTAAACACTTTATTTTCCTTCTTCTTTAGTATTGATACTTTCCTAAAGAAGTATTCCTACTTCTTTAGGAAAGTATCAATAAAACATATTAAAAAAGTGTTTTAACATATCTAAATGGGAAATGAATACTTTTGCAAAGCTCAATGTATTTTTTTCTTTTTTACAAAGTCATTGCATGTGGTAAAACTATCCAGCATCAACTAATTAAATGTTTACTGGTGAACTTGTTCTCAAATATGACAGTGGGAGTCTAGATGTCGTTGCGTCCGGTACTTGTTCATTAACAAAGAACATGATGTTTTAGAAATGGCGTGCATTGCTGTCAGAGTTGTCCAACTGCTTTTCATATGGCATGCTGTTTACAGTTGAGCAGTACTGAGGTTGTTATTTGCTGTTAACCCTAATCTCCTGGCTCTCCTGGTTTCACACATTCTTATAGGTATAAAGAGGAACTCTTTTCATCAAAAGCTGTAGTTTCCCCACACACAGAGTGAAAAACAAAGGACCAAAGCTAAAACCGCCTACCGTGGATGTTGTGAATAATGCATTTGGTCCCCTCCTTAGCCCATTTTATCTGCCTGAATGCACTCCCCTCTTACTATTGCACATATTCAGCCACTAAAAATCCCTTCGCATGACTTATTTTTTATTTTTGTTTCTTTCTTCCTCTGCAACAGAGTGTAAGTAATTAATCATTGTGGCATCATTTCAAACATAAACAACAACAGTCAGGCTGTCTGTCCTGTGATTAGCCACCCACCACTGACAGCTCATGCCATTGTGTCAAACAGCACTCAGCTCAGAACCAAGATGGTTGTGTATGCATGTCAGCGAGAATATGAAGACCCCATCAATTCACGAAAATCATGAAATAATCACAACACGTCTTCTAAATTGGGAATATTTTTGAAGCACATTTTTAGATGTACCAATCATGCACTTGGTGTGTAACATGAATGGCTTCATGATCAGATGCCTTTTTGTAATTGACTCCCCTCCTTTGCCAACTACATGTTATCTATTGCTTGTTATCTAGTATATTGTGGCTCCAGCAGATTACAAATGGTTGTACCCTCCACATGCAATTATTTATATAATGTACTCGGATTGTGTTGCATGTACAAACAGTACAAACTGTTCTCAATTGCGATTAAAGGTTTCTACAAAAGCAAACTCTGGAAACTTTCAGTTCTTGCTAGGATGATAATAATAAAATGTGTGTAAATACATAGCCCATACTGCTGTCTAAATAATAATCTCTTTTACAGAAAACAACAATTTCAATGTGACAACTTTTGCGATAAAGAACTCCACTTTACTACAATTTCAACTTGTCCCAGAGCTCAACAAACTTTCTTCAATGTAAAACAATACATCCTGTAATTGTTCATGCCAACACTGCTTATTCAAATAAAGTTTCTTTGTGTGACTGCTATTTAGAACAGTCAGTACAACAGTGCCACCATGTGGCAGGACAGAGTTATTGCATGTTGTTTATTGTTGTGCAACATGCTATAACTCTAATTAAAAAAACAACTTTAACGCCATTGGAGTGATTTCATTGTCACAATCTAATTAATATAAGTTAGAGATTGGGAGCAAATTAGAGAAAGGCTTTTTTCCAAAACACAAGCGGTTCCAGACAGGGGGCCAGCTAGGGCCAGGGTCCCTGCAGAACCGTTCCTGGCCCCTTTACTGAATATATGATTCTTAAGAATTTTCTTATTATAATGTGTGTTGGCAAAGACACTGTAGCTGAGCTTCATTGTAACAATAAAACTTTTTACCTCTACTGTTTTACTTAAACAAAAATGTAAAAGTCCAGGTGTTGCAACTTCAGCTTTTGTCACATCACTGATTTTCATCTACTAGATCAGAACAACCTGCAGCAAGAAAACTACATTTTACATCAAACTTTTTATTCTCTATTAGTTAGTCCTTCCTCTACAGTATCTGCTTTGCCTTCCCTCTGCCTCAGCTGCTGCTAGCTTTGCCTGGTTAGCTCTTTTTGTTTGCTTGATGTTTGTCCAACCTGGACTCAGTGTTTAAGCTCTGCTATTATCATAGTTCTCCACTGAATCCTTTCATTGTGCTTCCAAGTTTTATTTTTTGCCCAGTTCCTTGCCTGTGTTCTTTGCTCTAAACTTAATTGTAATTGCCATTAAGGTTTGTGTTAAACCATTTGAACTCACCATCTAGCTTTCACATGGTCCATCTCCTATTTTTTTATTTTTAGATGCAGACTGACTCCTTCTAAGTCCATAAACCTGCTAATTGATTACTAAAGCTACATCTGGAGTAAATATTACTACGTGTCTTAAATAAAAATGCTATTTCCACCAAATTGTGGCTTATACAACAATGGGACAGATCGCCAAATTTACAGTTGTCCAGCTGACAGTCACGGATATCCTGTGCTCACTAACAAAACTACCTGTTTACAGAGGGATGTAAACAATAATTTTCATAGGAACTTGAGTCAAAAAGGTGTGTTGATGCTGCAGAGTGAACAGTGTTTAACAGAGCTGTAAAAAGAAGCCCCTTCCTGTGCTCACAAAGCGTGGAGCTGGAGTCAGAGCTTTAAGATAGAAGTTGACATAAGCAAAAACTGTTTTATCCTGTAATGTTAAAACAGACCTACAATACAGACAGAAATTTCATATTTGGGCTCAATAGGAAAACAATTAAGGCTCTTGCCAGAGGTGTCAAGTAAAAAAAGCACAAATACTTTGTTACTGTATTTAAGTACACTTTTTATGTATATATACTTTACTCCATTACTTATTTTTCTTCCTACTTCTGACTTCTACTCATTAAATTTTTACATAAGTACCTGTACTTTCTATTCCATACATACATTTTCAAAACAAATGTTACTTATTACTCTTGGCTTCGGTTTAATATTTATAACTATTTATTTCATGCAATGCGCCATCCAGATCATTAGTGCCATGACATCTAGTGAAAACTATTGTAATTGGATGAGTCATATAACGCAAACACTCATTGGTTATCTAAAGGAAATCATCAGAAGCAAGCAGGTGTTCTTCAAACTGCAAATGTGAAATGTCTATGCCATGCTACAATGTTAGATTGACAAAAAGATGTTGAAATGTCTGAAAGGTCGGACACAGGCAAGACCGTATCGGGAGATGGAGACGGAGACCAACAAGACCTCCCTCATCCTTGGTTAAAAGAATCTCAAAGAATTTTTCAAAAATGTCAAAAAATTGAGCTTTCAATTCATATAGTGGCATCTGGCTGTTTTTTTAAAGTTTACTTTATACTTTTATACTTCAAGTAGTTTTTGGAGCACATACTTTTTCACTTTTATTTGAGTAAAGAGGTCAAGTTGATACTTCAACTTTTACCAGTGTTTTTAAACTGCAGTATCTACACTTCTACTTAAGTAACCACTGTGTGTACTTTTGACACCACTGGCTGTTGCTTAGTCATCAAAAGTCCTGTTTTAAGGCAAGAGTTGCTATTATTTTCAAATCAAGGCACCAGACTGGAGAAAGAGTAATTACCAAATCACCTTTCCTTCTGAAGAGTCATTAGAACAACTAATGATATAAAGAAGAGAATACAGTTCTGTTCATTAAGTAAGTGTACTTTTTAAATAATCTGGATTCCTACACTTAAAAAAACTGTATTCTTTTTTTTTTCTTTATAATATTCAAATTTATGAGAAATTAAATGTTGAGTTTTTTTGGAAGTGAGCATAACTTTTTCACTTCAATGTATAAATAAACCTTTTAAAATGATCTGATATAAGAAATCAGGAAAGGATTGTGAAAAAAAAACTGAAGACATGGATGGAAACAGACAACACTGATGCTGCAGTGAGCATGCTGCCTCTCTGTCAGCCCTGATGATGCAACATGAACCTTTATGAAACAGCTTCCAGACCATCATTTCTTTGGAGCACAAAGCCGCACAAATGATCCCTGCTAGTTAGACTATATGACTTTAGTTGGATTCTGGGAGATAAGTTTTTATTGAAATGGGCAGAAATGATTGTTCAACAAAATGTTTTCTGGGAGTAAATAAGAATATGCGCACAAATTGGTTTGAGCTAAATAAACGTAAAACATGTTAATTGGATGCCCTGGATTAAAAAAGGAAAAAAAAAGACAAAAACGCATTATTTAATGTAAAAGCAAACTCATTTTGCTGCCTGCATTGATCCCTCTATGGGTGGAGTAGGGGTGGTTGACGCCGTCCATGATCCAGTGGACATTACGCAGCTGCGCACCAGCGGCCCGCCCTGCACCGGTCCATCCATGCAGCCCTGCCCATCCTGCTGCTGCTGCGCACGCCTGACACATCACATAGCAGCAACACATCAGGGCACACAGCAGCCAGCTTTTAACAACCACTTTTAACTTTTAACAACAATCAAATCAGACAACATGGGCAACGTCCAGGTAAGAATAATTTTGTTCTGCTGATCTAAACAATCCGAGATATTAAACTGTAAGCTGCGTTTTTATCCAATTAAAGGGCATGTTAATGATTAAAAAGTTTAAAAATTAAGGAATTGGGGTTAATTTATGCATTAAAATGCAAATCAGCAGGTTGAACACCATAAAGCTTTTGCAGAAGGTTAATATAATTTATTACAGCTGTATATAGACTTTAAGTTTGGGTGAAAACAGCATAAATTGTAAGTGGCGCAGTCAGAGGGAGTGTGCTCTGTCAGAAGCAGATAGATGAGGGGATTTCTCAGCATGTAGATCAATAAGGCCGCATTGTGTCAAAGGGAGGGTGGGTAGGGGATGAGGCTGCTGCTGGTCCATGACTCAGCACAGCCAGCACCCTGATCCTATTGAGAGAAACCACTTCCTGGATGGAACACCATAACAGATCATCTGACACCACCTCACCCTCTGTTTAGTTTCATTGCAGCGTCAAAGTGCTTTTACAGTTTCTTTTGTGCTTTTTTGTGAGTGCAAAATATAATAAAACATATACATATGTCCTGCTAATATTTTTACATATGTTTTGCATTCCCAGCCCACCATAGTCCCCTTTGAGGATTTTGATGTCACGGCTGATATAAAAGCCTTAAGACAAGCATGTAAAGGTTTGGGTAAGTCTGAACTTACTGTAATCTTTATTCATTAATATCTCATTAGCATCAATATATCACCTTAAATGTTCAGTAGCAACATTCAAAACTCTTTTAAAGCCATAACCTTTATATCTGGTGACTGTTTTTTATGAATATGAACAGCCTTGTGTGTGATTGTTGAGCCCATTTACTTTGTATGAGATACTTTAATTTCCCCAGCATGTCTGTATTGCTTCATGTTTTCCAGGCACAGATGAAGAGGTTATTATCCAGATCCTGGCCAACCGCTCTGCAGCTCAGCGTGTGGAAATCAAACAGGCCTACTTTGAAAAATATGACGACGTGAGTACCCCACCCACCTCTGGTCTCTGTTTGTCCTGTGATGCAGGAGCACAGCAAGTAAGACTTTGAGATCTGTTTTCTGCAAGGAGCTGGAGGAGGTTCTAAAGAAGGAACTCACAGGTAGCTTTGAAAATGCCATAGTGGCCATGTTGGACGAGCCCCGCGTTTTCTTTGCCAAGGAGCTCAGGAAGGCCATGAAAGGGGCGGGGACTGATGAGGCTGTTTTGGTGGAGATCCTGTGCACTGCTACAAATGAGGTTTGTAGAGAGGTGATGGATTAGATTAATGTTGATTACATTGTGTTTATGTTTGTTATGGGAACCATAGGGCTAAGAATCAAGGCATTGGTGCTTGTTGAGGCTGACTTTACTAACCATCCTCCTCATTTATCCTACAGGATATCCTGAGCTACAAGGAAGCTTATGCCCAGGGTAGGTTTTCAAAACATCTAACAGTTTTATAAAACAGGGTTTTACTAAAGTATACATTTTCTTAGTTTCTCACATTACAACTGCTTAAATAAATAAATAAAAAGTACATTTGTATTATATGTTGACTCCCTGCGAATCAATACTATACTGAACTAAGTTTTGCTGAAATTACTACTCTAATTCTTTCTCAGGTTTCTACCGTCTTGGTTCATTTCTCTTTGCAAAATAACTCAAGCTCATTTATTTTGGATGGGGAGCATATGTAAACATCAGTTTTTCATTTCTATTGGATTTAGGCCTGCAGTGAGTGGCTCATTCTAAGACATAAATATTAGTGATGGTGAGATGAAGCCTCATGAGGCATTGAACCGTTTGGCCAAATTACTTCAACGATCCCTAAAGTTCATGAAGCCTCATGTGAACATGTCACCACCTACTGGTGGAGAGCAGAACTACAGTTAGTAATATAATTGTGATTTTATTTATTGCAATATTGTTTTTCTTTTTTTTTTTTTCTTTAAAGGGACACTATGCAACATTTTTCAGTTAATTAGTGTGTTCCATAACGTTTTGGATGATTAAATGAGTCATTTCAGGTTGAACAAAGGTATTCTCGGCCGCCCTGGTGGTCTGTGGGGGAAATACTGCACTTGCAACTGCAGGAGCACCGTCCCGCACCCACAGGCTCAGAAGTCTCGTGAGAGTCAGTCTTGCTTTACGGCGAGAACTGCTACACGCCCCCAGTTAAAAGCATTCTCGCTGCTAGCACAGTGGCGATCTTTGTGCAGTTATGCCACGTTCATGCAGCAAAATCTCGTCTGCTGCTTCCTTTTTGCTGCTTGTACCAGTTAGTTCTGACGCGTGGCTGAAGCAGCTTTGCTGCTCTGGCTGTGTCTGAGGCGCGTTGGGCGGAGCTTCACTATCCTTTCTCTGCCTTGCAGCTATATTTGCTGTGATCAGTGGGAATAAAATAGTTTTAATATGTGTTTAAGTGAGAAAATACACCTGAAAACGTAATCAGTGCAGTCAGTTCATTCAGATTATTATCCTGCCTTTAATAGTTTTTCTGTCGGAGCCGCTCAGACCCCCACATACCAGCGGGGCGCCAACAGTATGGATCCCTTCATCAGCAGCGGTTCACCGCGGCAGCTGGTAGGTGTTTTTCATCTAAATAATCCAAACTGCATATTCTGCCGGCAGATTTCTGCATTTTAAGTTAATTTAGGCGTCAATAAACTGTTTAAGAGGAGAGATCATCAGAGCTGTGTCTCTCTCCCTGCGTTAAACGCACCCGACGCGCTGCTTCAGCTGCTCAGACGTGCTGCGCCTGGTGCTCAAAACGCGTCGCGGGACCTTTTGCTACGCCTTGACGCGCGTCAACCATTGACTTTGCATGTAAACTCGCTGCTTCTGTCGCGCCAGCTACGTCCAGTGTGAACGCAGCATTAGTCATTCGCTGCTAAGCTCAAAACAACCGCGCCTGGCTTGACGGAGAAACCAGGAGAACAGAACTGTGCATATTTACGACAGTGCACTTTTACTTTCGCCCTCTGGAGGGAGCCTCACTGGAAAATCAACACCGGTTGCATAGTGTACCTTTAAGTTAATTTAAAATTGTTAATGTTTGGTCTGTATGGAAGAGGATTAGGGCCATTAAAAATAAAAAAAAAGGTCACTAATTTTTACATTTTATTTCAGTTTAATATGGGAAAAGTCAGAAATCTGGGATTAAAGTCAGAAGTCTAAGAAAAAAAGTCAAAATTTTGAGATTGAAGTCAGAATTCTGAGATTAAAAACAGAATTCTGGGAAAAGTAAGAATATTGAAAATAAAGTCAGAATTCTAAGAAAAAAAGTCAGAATTCTGGGAAAAGTCAGAATTCTGAGAATAAAGTCAGAATTAATTCTGAGATTAAAGCCAGAATTCTGAGGAAAAACGCCAGAATTCTGAAATTAAAGTCAGAATTCTGGGATTATAGTCAGAATTCTGGGATTATAGTCAGAATTCTGAGAAAAGAGTCAGAATTCTGAGAAAAACGCCAGAATTCTGAGAATAAAGACTTTTTTTCCATATTAAGCTGAAATAAAATGTAAAAATGAGTTCGCTTTTTTTAGTACTTGACACAGCCTCGGAGCCTTGGCTCATCTCATAACATCAGTAATTAATATGTTTTGATCTAAACTTTTCCACTGTGGCTCTAGCTTCATGTTTAGGGTTGTTTTCCAAGTGGAAAGTGAACATCTGATCTAATCTTCCATGTCCTTGCTGAAATAAGGTATCCCACAGCATAATCTTGCCACCACAGTGTCTAAACTTGACGAGGTTTGTTTAGTCAGTGTAATTTAAACCTCATTAAAGACGGTGGTTGTAAAGTGGTGAAATTAGGAAAAGTTCTAAAACTATGAAAAAAATTGGTTTGGTTATTCATATCATAATGGTAAAATGACTAATTGTGTTTGTTTTACAAACCTAAGGCTGCAAAATAATTCTAGGAAAACATGTTACACTGAAATTCAAGCACACAATAATTAACCTATGAGGCTGTAGGTTTTATTCTTTTTGCTGTTACCTTTCAGTAAATGAGCGAGACTTGGAGGCGGATATAGAGGACGATACCAGTGGAGATGTTAGGAACCTGCTTATTTCACTGCTACAGGTATAAAACTGACCGTTGTTACCTTATCAGATACAAATCTACATTTTCCAGCTCGGCTGCTTATATGGGGAAGCAGGGCTCTGAAAGAAGAATGAAATGGGCTTGTGTTCGTTTTCCCTCAAATTGTTTCACATAATGGCTCTTGATCGCTGGCTCGCCCACTGGGACATTCGTCACATAGCTTGGCATGCTAAGCCCTTTATGCCTTTTCCAGCTCTTTCACCTAATTCACCCTCTGCTTCTTATCTTTTTCTTTTCCCTAAGCTAAAACATATAAACAGATTGACTCATGTTTTACTGCAGTGCCATTCCAGAGAACTTCATCTGTTTTCATTTAAAGTAATGCAGATGACTGTTATCCCATTAAATGCTCAGTGTCATTTTTGTTATCCACCCTCTTTGACTTGGCTCTGTGGGCTTTCATGCCCCTAACTCTCCCTCTCTCTCCTCATCCATAATTCTGATCCTCTTCCAGTTTCATCCTCTTCACTTTCTTGTTTCCTCCTTTACAGGCGAGCAGAGAAGAAGGCTACGACGTAGACGAGGGATTGGCCGAACAAGATGCCATTTCTTTGTTTGAGGTGTGGATGCGAGTAATATAGGATTTCCTTCTTATTCAGTCCAATTTAGGCTGTATAAAAAGTCATGCATTAAAGCAACTGCATTATGCCTTAAAGTCATGCATTAAAGTAACTGAACCGCACATAACAACATGGATTTAGCAGCTAAAAGTGAAAGCTTGAAGCATTATAGCTTAATAGCCAATTCATCCATGTTGGTGGAACATGGATGAATTGGCCGTATATAAAGAAACAAAAGCAGGTGGAATGTATGAGTAGTTATTGGAAACAGGGTAGAGTTAGGCAGGCGAATGAAATGAGAAATTAGGCCAGCTGTAGGTGCCAAGATCATGACACACTCCTGGTAGAATGGCATATAACAACAGAGGGGGCGGCCACCCCCACAGATTCATAAGCCAGTGCAATGGCATCTACAACCCAATGCAACAGCCTGTACTTGGAAATGCTGCTCTTATTGGCGAATAGTGCCCGTATCCACAATGTACAGTACAGCTGCAATGTCCAGGCTGGGAACACTGTGCTTGCCAACCTAAGTTCCTCAGACTGAAACGGAGGCGGGCAGTAGGCCCTCAGGCCCCCAGTTCAATAGGTGACTTCACATTGCCTGGGGGCAGAACCTTTGTAAAAAGGTTACATTTGGTGACATCACTCCAGACCCATCTGCTATGGAGTCAAGATTCTGCCAAAATTTCACACACACAATAAATCATTCTATTGGAAGCTTTGCTTCATTCAGACACTCATAAACTACACTCACATGCATATTTAACATGTAGCATGCGCAAAAAAAGAGTGCCACCGGCGCCCAAAATATCATAAATATAAGTATTCCTTTTCTGTAAATATGGTTCAAATTTATGTGTGCGCACCCTCCTTCCTCCTCTCATTTGTACCTGTTCCTACTAGCTCCTTTCTACTTTTGTTACTTTGAATGCGTTACCCTACTGACAAAGCAACGTGCCTGTGACTGGCTAGGTTTCAGGAAATCCTACGTCGTTAGTTATGACATTTTGCCAAAGTTACAAGTGTAAACTGTCTACCCATTTCCCGCTAAAGTTTGTAGGTGTTTGTAGGACCCTTTTTAACAGACACCCTACACTCAATCAGATTTGAGTATTCAATCAGACTATGGTATATTTAATGGTGACTCTACTTTTGAGCTTCCAACTCTTAAAGAGAAGCGTTTAGCCTGAATACGCTTTGCTAGTAGGAAGAAGAGTAAAGCCTTAACGGCCGGGATCTTCTGAAAGGTAGCCAATCACAGGCAAGTTGCTTTGTCCAGTGGGTAACACCTTCCAAGTGACAAAAGTTTACATGAGTGCACAGAAACAGGTCCACATGCGAGTAAGAGAGAATCTTTAGGTGCATAAAAAGCAAACCATAATGGAAAGAGTGTAGCATGGCTACAAAGAAATGGCCATCCATTTAAACTTACCGGTACATGCAAAGCAGGGAGCGCAATCATCACAGAAGTAGCCATTAGGCCAGATTTAAACCTGGAGAAGTTTAAGAGATTTCCAGATCAGGAGGAAAAATTTGCCAAAGGGCTATTGCCAGTTATGCACTTCAAAGGTTTAGCTTTCAGGAGTCACGTGGACCTTTTGGACTGCAACCCCAAACAACATTTTGATGGCGACACTTGGTTATAACACTGTCAGGTTATTGGTATATAATCAGCAAACACAGTTGAGTTGTTTAGAGTTGATGAGAAGATGAATTGATGGACCAATTAAAGGAAAGTCCATTTTCTGTAGTGTCCAGGATGAAATCAAATGATCGACACCAAAATTTTGACAATTGGTCCTGTCTCTGCTATTTGGCTCATGCAGAATCCCCCCCTGGCTGCTTCAGAATGGCTTCCATAGTGCATGTCCGATAATGTCCTTAAAACAACCTTAAACGTTCTTTTTTTTAAATATGCTACTCACCGGGTCGTCAGCGCTGTTCAATGACGTTCCAAAAAAAGTTTCGTAAAGAAAAAACGTTCCTGTAGTGTTTTATTTAGCATTTTGTAAATCCCGTTGAGTTCTGTTGGAATAGTCAATATCCCTCCGCCACCGGAAACGGAAATGGGGCCTGTTTACGCTTAGTTGTAGTCTTTTCGCAAGGCCCAAGTGTTTCTGCTTCACTCTGTGTACTCCGACGTCGAGGTGCTAACGTCTCTGTTCAACACTTTAAAAAACTCTCAAAATGGAATACGAAAGGTGGATTCTTGAGGAGGACATATTGGACTTTGAGTTTGACGGTAGAGGATACCGTCGCCAACTAGTGGTTTGGAGTGTGCAACGCTTCAGATTCGAACGGGAAGCGGAAGTTTATAAGCGGTTGTGATGTATCGGAAAAAATTGTTCTGGGATTTACAAAATGCTAAATAAAACAAGACAGGAACGGTTTTTCTTCACGAAACTTTTTTTGGAACGTCATTGAACAGCGCTGACAACCCGGTGAGTAGCATATTTAAAAAAAAGAACGTTTAAGGTTGTTTTAAGGACATTATCGGACATGCACTATGGAAGCCATTCTGAAGCAGCCAGGGGGGGATTCTGCATGAGCCAAATAGCAGAGACAGGACCAATCGTCAAAATTTTGGTGTCGATCATTCGATTTCATCCTGGACACTACAGAAAATGGGCTAAAAGTGTTAAAAACCGGAATTTTCCTTTAATGGGGTATTCTGGGTAGAACACTTCTTAGAGACGTGAAACAAAGGTGGACATTCACCTCCTAGCAGAGCAATGGTCCATAAGCATCTCCCTGAAATGAGTTTTCGGAACTTGGGATGTCTGTATAGACCATAATCTAAACATCTGTAACAAGACTCGAAGAGGCTACGTCTAATGACTGCTGTAGCTTAAATACATATACCATACATTCATTTTGTATGCTAAAGAAACTATCTTTATTTCGGCTTTACAATATTCCATTAATTTGTGTATCACATGTATCACAAATGTAAAAAGTATCACATTCACAATGTTGTGGCAACAGACATTTACCATCTTGTTTTAATTTGTTATGGAACTACAGTTAACTTCTACAGTTTTTACTTTTACTTCTCTAACACCTAACGCCAGAACTCTTACGTTATTCTTGTGCAAATGGGTGCCTAACATACTGTACATCTAATACAAGTGCAAACACTTTTAAATGTCAGCATTTTGTTTTCTTTTTGTATACATAACAGGCAGGTGAGGGCAGGTTTGGCACAGACGAGTCAACCTTCACCTACATCCTGACACACAGGAACTACCTGCAGCTTCAGGCCACCTTTAAGGCCTACGAGTCTGTATGTACTGTACGATGGTGAACCTGATCCAAAACAGATTAGTTTCATTGTACTTAAGTTTACGCTAGCTGGTTTACCTTGCAGCTTTCAGGAACAGATATTTTGGACACCATCGACTCGGAGGCTACAGGGACCCTCAAAGACTGCTACATCACTATTGGTAAGAAGGAGCATTTACAGATCTTCCATTATTACTTTGCCTACTTATTTACAATCAGCAGCTGATTTTGTTTGTTGGTATAACTTTATGTGTGTGTGTGTGTGTGTACATTTTGTTGTTCAGTAAGGTGTGCTAAGAACCCGCAGCTCTATTTTGCCCGCCGCCTGAATGCTGCAATGAAGGGCCTTGGCACTGATGAAGACACACTCATCCGCATCATTGTAGGCCGCTCTGAGGCAAGTGTCCCTGAGCTTGTGTATTATACACTTTACGGGATGTTACACACATAAACATAACGCTTTTGGCCTTGCTAGCAGCAATTAATGCAAACATTCAATTCTAAAAGAGGAGAAATGCTGGCATCTCTTATCAACATGTGCAAAAACCTTCAAATTCAATAATTGTTTAATTACATAGTATTGTCTTATAATCAAAAAGAAAATGATTTATTTTTTCAGTCTCTGAATAATACAAACTACATAGTTTAATATTGGGTTTTAACAAAATAATCCTAAAAAAAATCCTTGCAACTCCCTTCCTTTAAGAACTTCTGATCTTTGATCCTCTAACTTATCTTTCCCTGGGTTGTAAATTAACACAAATGCCCAATTTTCTTTTTTCTATTGGCCACTAGGTGGCATGAAGATCGATATACATCTTACCATCTGTGAGGAGGAGAAAAAAAATTATAAAATTAAAAAAATTCTATACTTACTTAAAAACTGCAACCAAATGTGGCAACACCCATTAGACAATATTTACATGACTACTGGAGGTTTGTAAGTGATACCAGGAAAATAAACTGCTTTATCATTCCAAAAGAAACATCTGAAATATCTTGCAAAATTCTCCTGAAAACTTATGTAAAACAGTTTTAGCTGAAAAGGACTAAGATTAGAATATTTGATAAAAAAAAAAAAGAGAGAGAGATAAAAAGGGAACTCCCTTTCTAATAATATAAGCTCTCAAATGCAGTTAAGGCCCTTTGTCACAAATAGACGTCCTTACTTCCAGTGGCCAAGGGTTAAAACATCAACTGGATTCAATCAGTAAACCTCTTAAGCTGTGTCGTTATTATGTCTTTTAGCTGATTAATATTCTAAAATCTAATCATATAGTTATAGAAAATAGTTCAATAGACAAAATTAAACTTCCTCCAAAGCTGCCTCACTCCCACAATGAAATCATGTAGAAAACCTGTTGGGTGACCTGAAGAAAACAGACCATGAGGCGACACAACTTATTTGTGTAACTCCATTTGTATAAAAGATACTTAAAATAGCTACAAGAAAACAAACTAATAAAAATTCACTGAAATAAAAATATTATATGGTTTCAAAAATATAATAGAGCTTAGCAGTAAGATACAAAGTTAATTGAATAAGTAATTGTTGACCATTATGGCAAAGCTGGACTTAATATTAAAGTTTCCAGTCATGGTGTAAAGGAGACAACTGTTTCTGGATATTGAATATTTACAGGAGGTTAGATTCCGATTTGAGGAGCTTAGTAACTTAATTCTGCCTTCAGTCGTTTAGCTTTTCCTCTTGTGCTTTGTTGCCAGTTCTATACTCTCTGCTAAGCACTTGGTAAGCATGGCAGTTGTTTTAATTGTGCCTTATGGATTGACAATTAAGACTGGTGACCTGACCAGGGTGTACCCCGCCTCTCGCCCATAGACAGCTGGAGGGTGCACTAGCACCCCTCGTGACCCCAGCAGGGATTAGGTGTGAGAGAAAATGGATGGATGGATGGATGGATGGATGGATGGATGGATGGATGGATGGATGGATGGATGGATGGATTGACAAGCAAAAAAATTTAAGTTCCCCTTGATAAATGTTCATACAGAAAAAGTTTCATATAAATCATGTCAGACAGACAACAATTACTTGTAGTAAATATTGAACTTATTGAAAACCTTTTTACTCATTCTTATCAAAGGCAGTGAAAGAAGTAGCTAATTTAAAACATTAAAAGCATCATAAATCTGTATGCAGCTGTGATATTTTTGAAATGTTGAACACTTTCACAAACATATTTATTTTATTTGCTTCTAAGTTTCTTTACTTTTAGACTCAATAATGCTGAGTTAATATAGAAATGTAAAATGGGTTCAACTTGTTTCTAACCCACAGGTCGACTTGGAGACAGTGAAGGATATGTACCTCGAGAAATACGACATCACCCTAAAAGATGCCCTTGACTCGGAGTGTGGAGGAGACTTTAAGCGTCTTCTCTTGGAGATCTTGCACTAAATCACAGTCAATTTGTCACCTGTCTTGTTCTACCATGAAATAACAAAATCTACTCTATCTACTCTACTGTTTTTAACACTTTACAAGTACTTCTTGTTACTCTGGTCTTTCTCCACGTTTTAGAAATTTCACTTTACAGCACGGACCAAAATCAACTCAATATAATCCAGTTTAGTGTTCCACATTACGTAATTTTTACAGATTTTGTTAACACTTTTAAAACTTTTTACAATACCATCTCAGTATAATAAAGCGCACTGTTAGTTACCAACATGGATGTATTTTGGAACTATAGAAGGACCATATTCACTTATCAAAAAGTTATCTGCCAAGTTACAGTACTCTAATGCTTTTCTTTTTTAAGCTGCAATCATTATGTGTTTTCTATTACACAACAAGCATGTGTCTCTCATCTATCAGTCACATCACTATTTATTTTAACGATGAACTTCAGAAGATTATAGCAAATAAGGTTAGGTTCTGCTGCAACACATAAGTGCCCCAATATCATGCTCAAACCATTAAATTTAAAGATGTTTGTTTAATTGTTGGAACTTATAATAAACTAAACTTTACCTCAAATACTCAGCTGTTTATGCAATTTGCTACAGGCTGGTTCTAGACTGAATAATTAACAAGAAATTGAAGTGCTTTGAGTCGTTTCTTTGAGAGCTCACATGTTGCCTTGTTACTAGATTTACACACTGTTTTTGTTTTGCTTTTTGGTGCCTTGAGTATTTACATTCACTGCACAGAAAATAACCATAGAGATCACTCTGACTAGTGCAATGATTAAAAGTATAGTCACAGGTTTAAGGCGGAGGTCTTTAAAGATGCATTTTCTTAATGAACTGAGGCTTAATGTGTCAAGTGAAGTATAAATATAAGAATATAACAGATCTAACTGTATTCACGTAAAAAAAGTTATGTCTGATGTCTGTTTAATGTTTGTACAATATTGGTCTGAAATACAAATTAAAAAATTCTAACTATCAGAACTGATTTCATTTTTCCTGTAGAGGGCAGTGTTGAACAATTTGCCTTTTATTTGTTGGTTTTAATGTAGTTTCGCAGTCTAAGGAAGCAGTGACTAATAATATAACATTGAAGTAATACACTCCTATATATATTTACATAATACTCTTAACCTAATCTAGAATTTAATACAATATTGATCATTTATAACCACTACCAGATCATCCCTAGTAACTCATATATTCATTTTGTGTTGAATAATATGCTTTGAAGATGCAAAAAAGTTTATTTCTACAAAATAATTCCTAAAAACCTTTTGATTATACCAGAGCAGCAAACCTGTGTCTACTAAGTTAAAGTTAGACAATAAGGAAGTTCAAGAAAGGTGCCAAATGCTTCCAGATGTGCAGCCAGTTCCTCTGCCTCTCTGCTTTGCCTGTTACTTCAGTCTTCTCACTGTTTATCTCATTACTACGGTTGGTTTGAGCATTCAAGTTTAGCATCAACCTGTTTTCTGCATTTTCTTGCAACCTGTATGCTTCCAGTCTGTGCACCATATGTGCTTTGACCATTTATCTGTCTGGCTGATCCATGTGCTCAAAACACGTGGCTGCTGATAATATATAGAGAGAATCAGGACGAGCAATACATGGGTCTGGTGTGTAGGATTATTTCTTGGAGGGGAATTAACCCCTTTTGCACTAATTTCTGTTTAAAGGTATTTTTAAAAAAAATTCTATTTGTGTGGAAATAACAATAGAATGCTAAAAGAATAATGCAATTTTAATGCAAAAATCAAGAAAAGGCTTAAACATGGTCCAAATTCATGTTTTTTTATCCATTGTGCACTGTAAATAATAGTGTGCAATAATATGTAAGGTTCGGCTGTCAAACATATGGTGCTCCATCTAAGCCAACAGTGCCATGACCTTTTTTTCCTCCAAACTTTCTCTTTTTTAAATTTTAGTAACTCCTTCAAGATGCCTTAACTCAAGCTATGGTTTCAATTTTGCTCAAGACACGATGTCTGTCTGTTGGATTATACACCCTGTTTCTGGGTATTGTCTTCTTTGGCAACATTCTGATAACAAAAAAGAGAACTCAAACACCTTGTAAATCCCATAATTGTGATTTTTAACACCTATCAGCAAAAAATATTACATTGAGAGCAATTCCTGCACTTTCTACATAAAATACGTTCAGTTGTTTTTTGTTAAAGAGAATGCAGTCCTATTTGTAGGGTGTTTCTGATCTTGTCTCCCATTACTGCAAAAAACTGCTTGGGCTAATGTGTCTGTCCAAATTCACGACAAAGGAAAGATGTTCTTTGATGAGTAACCAGAAAAACCTGGAGGCTCCCGCCAAGAGAAAACATGTTCAATTGAATCTCTGTATCACTGTGTGGCCTGTAGGGCTGTAATGGTTGACTATGACCAGTGTGTTATTGTTTTGTTAAACTCATCTTTTTATCTGTTTAAGTTTCCCACTAAATCAAATACAAATATGTATTTCATGTAAAATCCCCTTTTTTATTTACAGTGTACCATTTTCACCCCAATGAATTTTTTACAATGCATGTTTTGTCTCTTTGAGAAGAAAACACACTGCAAAAAATATAAATCTCAATAAGTTATTTTTTCTTAAAATAAGTGTGTTTTTCCTTGATTTGAGGAGGTAAGTAAGACACTTTGCCAATGGAACAAGACAATTTCCTTTTAAAATAAGAAAAAACTATTTTATCGTCTTATTTCAAGTAAATATTATCTAACTATCTTATTTTAAGAGTGAAAATACTCATTCCATTGGCAAATCATCTTATTTACCTGCTCAAATTAAGGCTAAATATACTTAATTTAAGCCATTTTTTACTTATTTCTGGATTGTTTTTGCAGTGCATGGGTTAACCCTTAACAATCCCCTAGTAAGAGTTAGGATTAGATTAAGAAAGATTTTTTTTGCTAATCATTCAACCCATTGTAAGGAAGCAGCGACTCACTGGTGAGCATTCTGGGGCTTAGCATCTTGCTCAGACACCCGGTGTGGCACTCTGGGGGGGTTTGAACCAGGGAAGCTGCAGCCTTCAGAAGAGCTGAAGCAGAAATCCTGCTTTTATCACTCTGTTGCCCATCACTCTGCACTGACTTTGGAAACTTCACACTGGAATCCAAGGAATATGGATTTTCTACCCCCTACTTTGATTCTTAAACTAAAACTTTATTTTCATCTGAAAGTGTTTGGACTACCAAGTAACAGTCCAGTTGTTTGGTTTCTTAGGTAGGAAGCATATGATTAGCGACTTACAATATGGAAAGGCAACATTTGTATTTGAGGTGAACAATTTGTCTGTGGGTAGAGGCTTTTGATGTGCTGAATGTAGACTCAGTCCACTCCTAGCAAAGCCGAACAGAACCACACAATGACATTTATTGCGTTTTGTTTAAAAATTCTTTAAATCACAGCGAGAAGCACCTTTGAGGAAAATGAAAGACATGAACATGCTTTCAGGAATGTAACAAATACCAAATACTGGTTCTCCCCATTGTATCTGTAAGCCATTCACAATAACAAGAAATAAAGGTTTAACATATTAATGAACCTATATGTCTTAAACGTTCTGCAATTACTGTTCTGCAACAGCTGTCACTGTGGATCTTCTAAACCATCCTTTTTAGGTGTGTTTTTTGTGTATAGTGCTGTCTTTTGAGACCTCTTAGCCTTTGACATATTAGATTTTAAGTCTACAGTTTCATCCATGATGATGAGGTTGAACCCATCAACAAACATAAAACATCGGAATGGAGGTAACGTAAGGATGGAACATATTTTAACTGAGGGTGTGGTGCGGTTCATTTATTTATTTTTTGCTTTAAGAATTGAAATCTTACTTACAAACTGTATTACAGAAGTCTTTGATGAAAAATTTAAATACGTTACCTTTGCTACATAGCTCTTTATAGCAAAGTATTAGCAATTAGCCTACATAAAATCAGTGCTTCATCTTTGAAATTTTGACTGTCTGACATGATTCCTACTGTATGCACTACAGGCAAGACATACAATATGGCTTTACATCTGATAAATATTTTTATTACGTTAACAGAAAAACACCAAATATACACTTCATTAAACATTTTACTCTTTAAATAGCCTGTTTATGTTTACATGGCTTGCATATTAGTTGGAATTTAACCAGAGAGCAATTAAGCATTGCATGCTAGGTGTAACAAAAATCTCTAACTCAAAACATGTGTCCTTAAAATGAATGGAAAGCAGTGTTAAAAGAAAACAAATTTATCTGAAGATACTTTTGAACAACAGAAGAGGGTCACCAGAATTACATAAAGATAAAACAAACAACAAGAAAAACATGCATTTTGAAGATAATACAGAGCAGAAAGCTCAAGCGTGAAAGGTTCAGGATAGTTGAATAATATTTATGTACAAAACAACTCACTAGTTTTGCTGTATATAAATGAATGATATAAATAATTTCTTTCATTTAATATGCCGTAGTTCATTTCAAATGTTAAAAAGCAAAACATAACATCTTTTAGCAGTTTATAAGAAGGGGAAATCTCATTTCATTTGTTTTGTCATGGGTAAATTTATAGGGGAAGATATTTTCCAGATGACAACAACTTTGGAAGCCAACAACATCTTTTGTGGCCTTTCCCCAACAGCTACTACTAAATTATTGCAGTATAAAATGGTGAGTAGGAAACAGATGGCTTTTGTGGTGTCTTTTGAACTTTGGTGGGACAATGAAGTTAGTTTCCTTGATGTTTGACCTGGTGCAGGGGCGTGCACAGTATGGTGCTTAACATAATTGAGTACAGACATTTTGGTTGGATTATATATGGTCCGCTGCATACTTCAATTTGGGAAAAGCCAGTTTGAAAACTGTTGGATCCCCTACCTGTTATTGGCTATTGATGAAAATATGCTTTATATAGGGTTTATAACTAATAAACCAACAATGATTTACAGAAAAAATAGCTTGGAATACATCAAAACTAAAGATAGAGGTCTCTACTTTGTGTGTGTGGGGGTTTTTTTTGTCACTAAATGGATAATACAGCTCTCTTGTTGATGGACCAGGACTTTGGCAGCATGTTTTAGGTTTGTTAAAGGTCGTTGAGCTTCACCGACTGTACTAGAACTTGTTTAACCTTTCCTGGTTGTTCAGATTGTCTTTAGTTTCCAGGTTAATTTGACCCTCAAACAATTGGAACCCTTAATTTGTATTATTACACAACCAGTGACCTTTGTCAATACAGTTAGAGGTATTTCAAGTTTATACAAATATTTGGGTTGGTGGAACATTAAAGGTGCCATTTCATAACTGTAAACGCTAATTTATACTCAGAAACCAGGTCGTTCGGTGTGTGTTGCAGTGAATGCAAATGTGTCCCCGCCTCTGCTGCAAACACTTTGCTGCACCTCTCCAAAATTGTAGGTGACCGCAGACTTATTGGTCAAATCTACATCCACTCTACATTACGCGTATTGTTGTTTTGTTTGTATGACCGCCATTGTGGAAACGACTCATGAAGTTGGAACAGCTAGAAGACTGAGGTGCACAAGAATGCTGGGACTTTTTCCTGATTTTTTGCTTTGGACTTTTTCCACCTGGATCCCCGCTCTTTTTTGCCCTCATGTCCCTCCATTGTTGCACAAACTTGCCCCCACTTCCTACCGCCTCTGCTATATCTACACCCACAGCTAGTTCCTGATTGTCCCTCTTGCGTAGAAATAACATAGCACAGACCACGCTTCATTATTGGGCAT